ACCTTGTTGTTGGGCGGGGAGGTCTTCTTTTTTGCTGAGCCTCCACTTTACCAAACATGATATCCTTACCCAGGGACTGGTCCCTCCTGATATGTCTGAAGTATGAGAGGTAAAATCACGCCACCCTGTTCTCTAAAGAACATTCTGGTTGTACTTCTTCCAACACAGATTTGTTTGTTCTACTGGCAGTCCATGGTACTTTTAATATTCTTCTCAATCATCATAAAATAAATGCACCAATTCTTCTACAGTCTTCCTTATTCACTGTCCAACTTTCACAAGCATATGAGGCTATTGAAAAAACCATGGATTGGATCAGGAATACTTTGGTCCTCACACCGATATCTTTGCTTTTGAACACGTTTAAGAGGCCTTGCAAAGGAGATTTGTCTAATGCAATATATCATTTGATTTCTTGACTGCTGCTTTCATAAGTGTTGAGGGTGAAACCAGCTAAAGTGAAGTTTTGGACAACTTCATTCTTTTCTCCATTTATCATGATGTTATTTATTGGTCCAGTGATGAGGATTTTTGTTTTCTTTACATTGAGGTGCAACTCATACTAAAGGATGTGGTCTTTGATCTTCATCAGTAAGTATTTTAAGTCCTCTTTGCTTTTAGCAAAATAAGGTTGTGTCATCTGCATATAGCAGGCTGTTAATGAGTCTTCCTCCAATCCTGATGCCACATTTTTCTTCATATAATGCAGCTTCTCAGATTATCTGCTCAGCATATAGACTGAATAATTATAGTGAAAGAATACCTTCATGGTACACACCTTTCCTGATTTAAACCATTCAGTGTTTACTTATTCTGTTCAAATGACTGTCTCTTAGTCTATGTACAGGTTCCTCATGAGCACAATTAAGTGTTCCAGAATATTCTTGCTCTGCAATGTGACCCATTGTCATGATCTACACAGTTGAAAGCCTCTGCATAGTCAATAAAGTACAGGTAAACATATTTCTGGTTGTCTCTGCCTTAAGCCAAGATCCATCTAATGTCAACAGTGATAGCTCCCATTCCACATGCTCGTCTGAAGCCTGCCTGAACCTCTGGTAGTTTATTGTCAATGCACTGTTGAAGCAATTTTTTGTTGTTGTCAAGTGTTGTCGAGTTCTGACTCATATCAACCCTGTACAGGGTTTCTGAGAAGCAACTGGTGGGTCTGAACTGCTGACCTTGTGGTTTTCTACAGCTGACCAGTGCTAATCATACAACACCAACTAGGAGCCTGTTTTTTAATTATCTTTAGTAAAATTTCCATATTCCTTGGCATATATCAGTGAATGTCTCCAGTGCTGCCTCAGTTTGTTGAAAATTTTCAATTTATATGACATCAATTCTTAGATCCTTGTTCTTTGTTAATTCCTTCAATGCACCTTGGACTTCTTCCTTCAGAATCATTGGCTCTTGATCATATGTTACCTCCTGAAATGGTTGAACATAAAACATTTGTTTTTGGTACAGTGACTCTATGTATTCCTTCCATCTTCTTTCAAAGCTTGCCACATCATTCAATATTTTGACCATAGAATCCTTCGGTATTTCAAGTTGAGACTTGAATTTTTGCTTCAGTTTTTCAGTCTGAAAAATACTGAGCGTGCTCTTCCCTTTTGATTTCCTACCTCCAGGTCTTGGTACAATTTATTATAATATTTGACTATGTCTTCTCGGACTGCTCTTTGAAATTTTCTGTTGGGCTCTTTTATTTCCTCATGTCTCCATTAACTTTAGCAGCCCTACACTTAAGAGCAAGTTTCAGAGTCTCTTATGACATACACTCTGATCTTTTCCTTCTTCTTAATGACTTTTTGTATTCTTCCTATCCAATGTTCTTGATACTAGCCCACAACTCTTCTGGTTTTTAGTAATTAGTGTCTAATGCATCAAATCTTGAGATGATTTCAAGTGGGACATATTCAAGTTTGTATTCTGGCTGTCATGAACTTGTTTTAATTTTCTTCAGCTTTAGCTTGAACTTACATATGAGCAACTGATGGTTTGTTCCACAGTCTGCCCTGGCCTTGTTGTAACTGATGATATGGAGCTTTTCCACCATCTCTTCCCACAGATGTAGTCAAGTTGATTTCTGTGTATTCTATCTGGTGACATTCATATGTATTGTCTTTTGTGTTGTTCAAAAGAGGTGTTTCAATGAAAAAGTCATTGGTCTTGCAAAATTCTACCATACGATCTCCAGCCGTGTTTCTATTATCAAGGCCATGTTTTCCAACTGCTGATCTTTCCTAAGGTAATTCAAAAATAGCTGCAACAGTACATTAAGGGAACTGCCAGAGGTTCAAATCAGATTCAGATAAGGCTGTGAGGGACATCACTACTGATGTCAGATGGATCTTGGCTAAAAACAGAGAATTACAGAAAGATGTTAAACTGTGCTTTACTGACTACACAAAGGCTTTTGATTGTGTGGATCATGAAAAGCTATGGACAACATTGTGGAAAATGAGTGTTATTTAACACTTAATTGTGCTCACGAGGAACCTGTACATAGACCAAGAGGCATATGTTCAAACAGAACAAGGGAATACTGAATAGTTTGAGGTGTGCACCAGGATTGTATACTTGTACCATATTTATTCAATCTGTATACAAAGCAATTAATTTGAGAAGCTGGATTATATGAAGGAAAGCTGGATTATATGATATTATATTAATATCAGGATTGGAGGAAGACTCTGCAATATGCAGATGATACAACCTTGCTTGCTGAAAGCGAAGAGGACTTAAAATACTTACTGATGAAATTCAAAGACCACAACCTTATTATGGGTTGCATCTCAATATAAAGAAAACAAAAATTTTAAATTGAGAAAATATTGAAGTATATCTAAGACTTCATTTTGCTTGGATTAACCATCAACACTCATGGAAGCAATGATTAAGAAATCAAACGACATATCGCATTAAGCGAATCTTCTGCACAACACCTCTTTAATATGTTTAAGAGCGAAAATGTCAGTTTGAGTACTAAGGTGTGCCTGATTTAAGCCATGGTATTTTCAATACCTCATATGCACATAAAAGTTGGACTTTATTCATTAATAAAGATCATAGAATTTATGCATTTGAGTTACTGTGTTGGAGAAGATTATCAAAAACGCCATGGTCTACCTAAAGAACAAACAAATCTCTTTGGAAGAAGTACAGCCAGAATGCTTTTTAGAAGTCAAGATGGTCAACCTTCATCTCTCATACTTGGGGCATATTATCAGGAGGCATTAGTCCCAAAGACTAATCATCATGCATGACAAAATGGAGGATCGGAAAAAAAGAGCAAGACCCCTAATGAGATGGATTGGCCCAGTGGTAGCAGCAATGAGTTCAAGTGTGACTACGATTGTGAGATTGACACAGGGCCATGCAGTGTTTCGTTCTGTTGTGCATAAGGTCACTTAAGTTGGTACTGACTCAGTGGCACCAAACAACAACAACCATGAGACACTGTGCTAATTAAGCATTTTACATTTCATCCTCACAACATCTCTTTTAAATCACTACCTTATAAACACCATTAGCCCTACTTCTTGAAATCCCGTTCTTTCTATTCCAGGCCAACATACTCTACTGGTTTTCTTTCCATCTTACTATTTTTCTTAGTGGACCCTTCTCCCAGATATTCACACTGAGCTACTAGCTGCCTTCTCTGTCTATACTTCTTTGGAGTAATATTACCTAGGTTCATGCATTTAAATACTATGTATCTGCTGAAGCATTCCAAGTTTCTATCTCCCCTGTAAACCAGTATATTCAATTATCTACTAACATCTTCTCTTACACGTCAACAACTGAACTCAAATGCAAACTCCAAAACTGTATCTCTGATCTCCACCTTCTCAACCAGCTCTTCCTCACAACAATGTATTTAATTTTACAATCCTTGGGCAATTATTATTTTTATATTACAGATGAAAACACTGAAGCCTTCTTTGGGCTTTCATATATACTTTCTCCATTCTAGTGCCTCAGTGACTGAGTAAACATGTAGAGTGAGGGATATGCGACCCTCCTGCAAAAGATATTAAGGACTACCACCAGGCACCAAGACAGCAGGAAACCAACACTCTTGCAAATTCTGTTAAACAACTTTCCTTCCTAAATTTCTTCACATATTAGTACTCCGTTCTCAAAGAGGGATGTAAAAATGTTCTAGAACATTGATTTTCAATACTGGTACTCAACAGAATAATTTAAGGCACTTTTAAGAATACAGATGAACTCTACTGGAGCCTATTAAACTTAGAAGGTTCCAGAAAATTGGTGTTTCTTAGAAGCACTCAAGCAAATTTTAAAGTTGATAACTCAATTCCTGAATTTCAGAAATTTCTGCTCTAGAAAGAGTTCTCTGTTTTTCAGCGAATGAGTAATGACTATTATATACTTATCTGCCTTGTTGTTGTTGTTAAGTGCAGTTGAGTCGAGTCTGACTCACAGTACAGGGTTTCTGAGGAGCAGCTAGTAGGTTTGAACTGCCAACCTTGTGGTTCACAGTCCAGTGCTGATCCTACAGTGCCACAGCAGGAGTCCTAGCCTAGCAGTGGCTAAAAATGAAATTTATTTGGGGATGTAAACTGCTTTTAATGAGTAAGAAGACCAATCATGAAATCAAAGTAGTAATCATGGTTTTGGATCAGGACACACAGTACTTTCAGTTGGCACAGGAATTTGTTACCATGAGAAAGTTTTCATCCAAGTGAGGCCACCCTCTAGCTGAAAACGGTGTGTGTCATCCAGGCAGCAAGAAACCAAATGCTGAGACCCTTATTCTCAGAGTACTCATCAGGTAGTATGAGTGAAACTAAGAGCTTTAAGAGGTGTGGTCATTATACCACAGCAACAAAGAAAGAATTAACACTGTCATTTTTGTATAAATACAATGCATGTATTTTGTTAACATATGCAAGTTATAATTACTATTGTACCACAAATGCTTAAACTACATCAAAGAAATTACTTTAAGAGGCTTACTGAATTCTTACCTCCGTAAGTGCATGCAACTGTCCTTGATGTACACATACACCCATGAACCTAGGAAACAAAATAGATTTTCAAAAAATAATAAATTAAAAGAACAGAACATAATGCCATCTAGAGAAACTAGGTCAGCCATTTGTCACTCTTCAGACCTGGAACTGAATTCACCCCTTTGGCTCAACTTTCAGCCAAGTACTAGACAGGCCTATAAGGCGAACAATACCAGGGAGTACACACTCCTCAGGAGATCAAATGGGCATATGCGTATTATCCTATCACAGACAGCATTATACTTCAAGATAGATCTTGAAATGTTCTTTTTGATGATGAATGTGATGCCATTCCTCTGGAATTTGTCTTTCCTGGCATACAGTAAACCACATCATTTGATTCAATGGCATGTACTAGTCCATTTCAGCTCATAAATGCCTAGGACATTGATATTTATGCATTCCATTTCATTTTTGACCACTTCCAATTTTCCTAGATTCACACTTCATACATTCCATGTTCTGATTATTAATAGATATTTACAGTTCTTTCTCCTCATTTTGAGTTGTGCCCTAATCAGCATGGCTCCTGAGAACTTTACTCCATTTGTGTCATCAAGGTCAAATGTACTTTGAGGAGGCAGCTCTTTCCTAGTTGTATTTTGAGTACCTTCCAACCTGAGGAACTCATCTTCCCCCCATTGTAACTGACAATATTCTGGTACTATTCATAATGTTTCAATATTCTGGTGCTGACAATGTTCCACTGCTATTCAAAAGGTTTTAGTGGTAAACATTCTGAAGTACTCTCCCTTCTCCTTCTTCTTAGTCTGTCTGAGTCTGGAAGCTCAGCTGAAACCCATCCACCATGAATGACCCTTCTGGTCTTTAATATAGTTGGCTTAGTTTCCAGCATCACAGCAATATGCAAGCCATCACAGTTCAAGAAAATTACACACAAGTGGTGGAGATAACTTAGGTTCCTGAAACATAAGCAGCACTAGAAAATGTTAGCTATTATTCTTTTAACATTCCTGACTCACTCCCCAGATCTAGTCTCATAAGACATACAGTGTTTTGCACATAAGATGCTAAACAAGCATTTACTGGATAAAGACACAATAATCACCAAATTAGCTTCACAATATAAACTCATTTTATGTGAAAGAACATTTAGAGGTAGGTATGAGGCAGAAAAGCCAAGAAGTATTTGATTGAATTTAATAAAATGTTTATAAAAAAGTCAAACAGAGCTCCATTAACAAAACATTGGCTACATTCTAGAGTCATTAAGTTTCCTAGAAGCTGGAAAGTCCTGGTTTGAATGTGATACACTCTTGCTTCCTTTCCTCACAGCTCCACTACCACTATACCTACATACATGTGACAGATACAACATTCAGACAGACACTGACTCCATGTGAAAGTTTCCTGCCTGCCTTCTTCCCTATCCCCTACTTATATCACCATGTCACAGTGACACCACACTGCTCTACTCTATGGGGCATTTTCTGCCTACTCTCCCCCACTTCATTCCTTTACATAGACCACCACCACTACCACCACCATCACCACGTCCAAAATGGTGTAAAAGATATGGCAAGCTGAGACAGACATGATTAGCTTTACATTGGAAGAAGAGCTAAGCATAGGTAATCACTCCAGCTTTTACAAACAAAATATACATTAAAGGGGAAATACTACTCATCATTGACAGGGAAGAGATATGTGCCTAGGAAAGTATTTAATATCATTAAGTTTTTACTGGAATTTTTATTGCTAATTATGCCTAAATTAAAATTTTTGGTGTAAGATGGGATCTTAAAATTACATTACAAATTATCCCTATTCCCCACTACCATCACCCCTAAATTATGCTAGACAGAATTACTTTACTCAGGAAAGGAAGTCTTTCTAAATATTTGTGATAGAAAGTAATTACTCAACTTTGTTATTCATGTTGAAAAGTGGGAAAAATTGCTTGTCTTCTAGACAACTCTTCCAAAATTGTAAGGTGCAAATGAATCATCTATAAGGACCTTATTAAATTGTAGGCTTTGATTTTGTAGGTCAGGGCTGGGACCTAACAATCTAAATTTCTAGTAAGCTTCTAGATGATGCTGATTCTATTTGGTCCATGGACAGCACACTGAATATCAAGATTCTGTACAGATAAAAAATATCACCATGCTAAAGGTAGAATGACCAATAGGAAAGTACAAATTCTGATTCTACTGGCAAACTAGACTTTGATCAGATACTAAATTTGCCTCCGTTTTTCTGTAGCATGACTGACTGTTTCCTGTAAAGGGTCACCAGCATGCTTGTCCATACCTTCACTTTTTTGAGACCGTTCTTACTGCCTCACCTCCACATAATTAGAGCCCAGTTCAAATATTTCCCTCACACAAAACAAATCTGATTCCCTCTAAGACTTCTGAGGAGTCCTAATGTAGTGCTGTGGATCAATGCACTGGACTGCCAAGGTCAGCAGTTCAAGCTCACCAGCCACTCCTTGGAACACCTATACAGGGTCGCTATGGGTTGGAACCAACTCAATGGCACTTAGCAACAAAAATAAGTTTCTCAACTAGCATGCTTCTGAACTATCAAGGCATACCATTTTCCTATAGCATCTTTCACTTCTTGCCTTAGAGCATGTTTTAAAACATGTCTCCTTTATAAGCCTACAAGCTTCTTAACAGGAAATATTCTCTTGCTTGACATATGAAAGACAGTATATACATAAACATTTCCTGGATGAACGTCAAGTACAACTCTGAGCATTCAAAATTTATTAAGTACCTATTATATTACCAGGCACTAGGAATAATAAAAGAGCACTTAATATATTGGTATTGCCCTAAGTCCTTCACATTATATTAATTCATTTAATACTTATAATAACCCAATGGAGTACTTTTATTATCCCAATCATACCAATGAAGAATCTGAGGCACAAAGTGATTATGGTAAGTAACTTAGTAAAATGGTAAGTAACATGCAGCTAATAAGTGGCAGAGACAGGAGTCAAATCTAGGACATGGCTTCCAGAGCTGCACTCATTACAATTTTACGGTACCTTTCAATACAGCTATAATTCACTATCATATCATCAACTAAAACAAGACCAGGGGCAGACTGTGGAACAGACCATCAATTGCTCATATGCAAGGTCAGGATGAAACTGAAGAAAAGGTAAAACAAGCCCACGAGAGCCAAAATATGACCTTGAATACATTTCACTTGAATTTAGAGATCATCTGAAGAACAGACTTGTTGAATTAGACACTAATGACTGAAGACTAGAAGAGTTTTGGGATAACATCAAGAACACCATACAGGAAGAAAACAAAGACAAAAATAAGGCAATGATAAAAGAAAACACCATGTCAGAAGATACTTTGAAACTTGTTCTCCAGCATAGAGATGCTAAAGCAAATAGAAGAAATGAGGCAAAAGAGCTAAATGGAAAATTTAACAGGATAGCTCAAGAAAACAAAGTCAGATATTATAATGAAATATGCAAAGACTTGTAGTTAGAAAACCAAAAGGGAAAAACACACTTACCATTTCTCAGGCTGAAAGAACTGAGGGAAAACTATAAGCCTCAATTTGCAATATTGAAGGATTCTTTCGACAAAATATTGAATTATGCAGACATCAAAAAGAAGATGGAAAGAATACACAGAGTCACTGTACCAAAAAGAAATGGTGGATACTCAACTATTTCAAAAGGTAGCATATGACCAAGAGCCAAGGGTAATGAAGGAAGAAGCCCAATGTGCACTGAAGGCATTGGCAAAGAACAAGGCTCCGGGAATTGATGGAACACAAACTAAAATCTTTCAACAAACTTATGCAACATTAGAGGCACTCACTCATTCATTTATGCCAAGAAATTTGGAAGACAATTATCTGGCTAACTGATTGGAAGAGATCCATTTTTATGCCCATTCCAAAGACAGGTGACCCAGCAGAATGCAGCAATGATTGGAAAGCATTAATATCATATGCAAGTAAAATTTCTCAAGCTGAACGAACTGAGGAAAAACTATATCTGACTTTGTTTTCACAAAATTACTCAAAAAGGGCTGTAACAGAATATTGATAGGGAACTTCCAGAGGTTCCAGCCAGATTCAGATGACGTCATGGAATGAGGGATGTCACTGCTGATGTCAGATGCATCTTGACTGAAAGGAGAGAATACCAGAAAGATATTTACCATTGCTTTATTGACTATGCAAAGACTTTTTCTTTTTTTTTTTTTTTAATTTAAGGTTTTTATTGTGGATTGAGTGAAAGTTTACAGGGCACATCATCAGTTTCACATTCAACAATTCATAT